CCACACACACACACGCCTACACAAACACACACACACACACACACACACACACACACATACGCATTTTTTTTAAAAATGTTAATGCAACAGCGCTTTCATTGAACATTCCCTTTTTCTTAAATTTGTCGAACCTCACAATTCTTACTAATTTCCTCTTATCAAATCATTTCTCCAGTGTGGGCGTCTACCAGAATGGAAAAGTGGAGATCATTGCTAATGAACAAGGCAACCGCATCACTCCTTCTTACGTGGCATTTACGCCCGAAGGTGTCCGTTTAATCGGGGATGCGGCCAAAAACCAGCTCACTTCAAACCCAGAGAACACTATTTTCGATGCCAAGAGGCTTATAGGCCGCACCTTTGATGACCCGGCTGTGCAAAAGGATCTCAAGAACTACCCGTTCAAAGTTGTGGACAAAAACAACAGACCTTATATCCAGGTGAGTGTGATGAGATTTATTGGGAAGATAAAAGTATCGAAAAAAGAAAGAAAGAAAGAAAAGGAGAGAGAAAGAAATGAGTGAATAAGCAAAGGAAGGAAGAAAAGAGAGAGAGAGAGAAAGAAAGAAAGAAAGAAAGAAAAGGAGGCTGCGACCCGAAAGCGGTTGACTTCTTTTGTCCGAAATACATGTGTAGCGTTTGATGGAGTAAATAATTTTATAATTTTCACGATTTCGCTGAAGGTGCCTCTCTCTATTGTGTTTTCATCTATAGGCCAAATATATATTAGTCAACGGAGACAATATCATTACTTTCCTTCACCAAGTGAGAACTCATAATTGGAATAAAGATAATTATAATAATATGTACACTTTGTTACATACTGATTTTTGCCGTTTCTATTACGATTCTATAATCTAGCTCACTCAAAGTCATTACATTTCTTATACGAGCAGTAAAACTATTTTCTGGAGTACATTTTGCTATATTTGTTGCCACAATCATCATCATTAGCAGCAGCAGCAGCAGCAGCACTGGTTAATTCAGTCATATCACATCATTGTAATGCCAGCATCATTTTTATCTCCACATTTACCCTATGCGTTCGTCGTGTTTTACTATCGTATCCATACGACGTGGGGAACTCCGTGCCACCACTTTCCAAAGAGGAAATTAACTCGTTAATCGGATCCGTACGCTTTGCATAGCAGTGTGTCAAAATGATTTTTTGAGAAATACTGAAAGTTTCAAAGAGATCTTCGTACTAGAAGTATTTTAAAATGTGAAGAATACAACCCCGGGGATACAAAATGACCCCCGAGTGTACGGATAGGTTTAACACATTAATAAACCATGTTTGATAAGAACCACTACGACTCCACTCATAGTGGTTTAAAATTAATGCTGAGTAGAAACTGCTCTCTATATTACGCTGCTTACATACACAAAATCTCTTGGCTGCCATTTTTGACCAGGCGCACTATTACATTACTGATTACAGGAGTCTCTTGAATGTGAATATTTTTACTCACTTTTGGTGTTTCATCTAGAATCTAGAACGTACATTTTCAATTTTTGTTCTTTCCATCACATTATAGATAGATAGATAGATAGATAGATAGATAGATAGATAGATAGATAGGTCGCACCCAAGGTTCAGATTTTGTCGTACTGTGTTCTTTCTTAGACACACCGGACGTGACGATATATTCGCTCACAGTGTGGCAGAAAGAAGAAAGAAAAGGAGCAGATCACATAATATTGGGCACATAATATATATGGTCGGGCAAGTATTCAGTACATCTCCAGAGGAATTATACACTAAGATCGCATGACCCTGGCTCAAAGGCCCAACAAGCTCTCCCATCAATTCAAGGCTTTCCATCAGCTTAGCCCAGTCCGATTGGAGAGTGACGTTGGATTCGGACCCCCCCCCAAACGCCATCCAAGAGGCCTCTTAAGTAGCCTTTACAATATTGAAATAGGTGTTGAACCGCTATAAAACAGTACATAATGGTTACAACCCTGAATGACCTGCCTCGAGTGGCAGTCGCTAATAAAAAAGATTGGTAATGATGAAGTATAGCCGTACCCCACTCCCTCACCCCAATTTAATTACATGTCTTCGTGATCACAGCCTGCTGTCCCTTGTTTCTGTAAGGCACGACTGCATCCCCACAGTGACGCCCACGGTGACCCCCACGGGCACCGTGACTGTTGTGCACTAAGTCAAGCGGTTCAAAATTTAGGGCTATACTTTACTTTCACTACAACTTCTCCAAAATCGAACAAAATATAAGCTCTTCTCGAGATTTTACGATCAACCTACCGACGTTCGGCTCAGCATGCGACTATTTCCCACCGACTCGAGCTATTGGAATGTTGGGATAATGGTAGAGCTCCTGGCGAGAAAATTGATGTTCTCGGGGACTCCCCTCTGCTTACAATTTATTTCTGTACAAGCGCCCGACATCTGTCCAAACAATGTAGCTTTGGGTGGGAAGTGTTCGCTAAAAGAATTATCTGTAGATGTTTTACGCCCCCATCGACATATTATTCTAGGTCGTTTAGGAGATACGGTGTCGTTTGCTGTGTAGCGGTTTGGCACTTTGCTGTCATATGCGGGAGACTCGAGTTCGATTCCCAAGGCGGAAGAAAATATAATCGAGTATGTCTCTCTGTCTGTCTGCTGAGAAGTATCCCTCTCATCCGGGTTGGCCCTGACAGACAGCGTTGAAATCCTGCCTCCAAAATTTAATTATCTAAATTGACTGGATGTGGCGTCGGTGGCCTAGTGGTTAGGCCCTTGGAATGGCAACCGTAAGGTCGTGGGTTCAAATCACATCAGGGGCCCGACGTTGTGTGCTTGGGAAAGGCACTTTACACGAATTTTCCTCACTTCACCTAGGTGGAAATGGGTACACAGCTTTAGACAACGTAATATCTTGTCAGTTTGTTAGTGTTAGAGCGCCTAATCTTGCACTGTGTGCTTCTCGAGAAGCTGAGAATGTTTCGGAGGATTTTATGGTCTGCCGGGGGTAATAATACAGTGTATAGCGTATAGAGCCTGCTGTTAGAGCGGGGGTAAGCGCTATAAAAGTGCTGTTTATTTTCCTTTATTTATTATCAAAAACAGCTACATTAAGAGTAGGAGACAGGAGCCTCAGACTTAAACTGGTAGAGCCCATTATCTTGGTCTAAGAGGGATATGAAAATTCAGCAGACAGAGGGGGAGATGATTTTTTTTTAAAAGAAGAAATTTGTTCCTCAAGTGAATCGGTTTCACCACTGCTGCATGTGACGCAAAGAGACTAACTGCAACACCACAGACTACTTAACTGCAAAGTGTATCATTTGAACATACTTTTGATAATTAACACATACACAGCATAATAATTAGGATGGTCATCCTTAAGGAATTTGCTTTTATTTCAGATCTACAGGTAGGATGTTTTTGAGAAAGAATCGACTGGTTCTGTGACTGTGTGATTCATAATGTCTCATTAATATTTTCCTGACGCGATGCATTATTTTTCAGAGAGAAGCGATGGGAATTAAAGTGGGATCGAGTCTTTTGGGAAAACTGTCCATACAGGCAAAGAGAATGATGAAATATTATAATAAAATGTTAAGATAGACTGATTAGTAAGCATCACGTTGAGCAAGTAGTTTATTATCTATACAGCCAGTTTAAGTGACACAGTCGTTAGATTGCCAGACAGATAGTTAGTTAGTTTGTTTTATTTGTTTCTCTGTTAGTTAAAGAGATAGTTAGTTAGTTATTTAGTTAG